AGGGGGGACCACATAGGGAGGGCTGGGGCCCAACATCCTCTGCTCTCCTCCCCTCAGGCCAGGGCCTGCCATGGTCCTCGGCTCTCTGAGGTCCTGCCTTCCCAGCGACTCTGGAACAAAGTCTCAGCAAACAAAGGACCCTTTCATGAGCATCAGGCAGGTCTCAGCTGCAGAACAGGCTATTGAGACGGGTTCCCAGGAGAACATGGCAGGACCAGCAGAGCGTGACCTGGAGCCAGCAGGCAGGGCCAAAGAGGAGACAAAACCCTTCAAGCTGGTTTGATGCAGGTCCATGGGAGACTCCCTTGCCTGCACTGCAGGGATGTGAGCAAAGCAAGAAGGCATCAGAGCCCAAGCTGAGCCCCTCCGTGGGTTGAGCAGGTTGTAGCTGCCAGGTAAAGCACCTGGAAGTGACTCCTTCCATACTTGTGGCTTGGTGTTTTTCCCAGACACTTCCACCCAGGAGTCCCAAAGTACTCTGTCGTCTAGTATGGCTTGTCAATGTGCCCACTGAGCAGACAAGTACACTGAGGTCTGTGTGCTCCTCTCATAGTAGAGGGTAGGGGAGTCACAGCAATGGGGAACCTGAAGCTGATGGTCTGTCTGCTGTCTTCTCATTTTTGACACTCAGCTATGGTGGTATTTTTTATGATATGTTCATGCTCAGTGAGCCATGGTGTCCCAGTGGAGGCCTAAGGCAGCATAAGGCTGTGGGAGAAGCAGATCTAGGTTGCAGTTCTGTGGCTCTGAGTTGGTTTCTTGATCTCTCTGAACCCGCTTCTTCACCTACCTGGAGGGGCTGTGGTAAAGAACAAACCCTAGGATGGCCTGGCTCAGAGTAGGTGCTCGGTTAATGAAGCCATGATTTATAAAGAGGTTAGCCTACTTATATAAGGAAAAGGTCATGGCAACTGATTTGGGGAATCAGATTTGCACACAGAAGCAAATGTTCACCTCTGCTAAGGATACTCCAGCCTTCATCTCTGACCCTGAAGAGGTTACGGTCATGGCCCAAATCAGTGTCTACTAGTATGCTCGACACCAGGGAAGCATCTGATGCCCAGTGGCACAAAGTACAAGCTTTCAGTGGAAACCTCCGAGGTGGAAGAGGCAGCTGCCATAGATGGGGGCCCATTGCCATACCCAGTGGCTCACCACTCTCCCCTCCTGCTGACACGTGGTAGCCCTGGCTGCTTCCTGTCTCAATAGGACAACATTCTACCAGATGCATCTTCAAGTGGCCAAACGTGTTCAGCTTTGGGAACTGGGCCATTGTCTAGGTCTGCCTTTGGTGGGACACGCTTGGCAACCAGGACTCTAGCAACAAGTACAACTCAAACAGCTGTAGCTCCCTGCAGGAGCTCCTGGAGGAGACAGAGTTCAGCCAGGGTGGGGGTGGAGGAGTGGATGACCAGGGGCCACTGTTCTTTTTCCTGTGCTCCTTCATGGGATTACTGTTCACCCCTCCTCACTGTGCCTTCTGTAGTCCAAGTCCCCAGCACAGTACTGTCCACATAGCAGGTACACAACACGAGCTCAACTGGCGCAGACACTCCTACCCTCCCTTTGGGAGAGTGAGTACAAAGCAAAGGCACTTTCTGATGATCCCATAAGTGCCAGTTTACTCCCAGCCTCACAGACCTAGGCTGCAAAGCGTCCACAAGGAGTCAGCACAGAAGCCCGTAAGACCTCCGCCAAACCACCCTTCCCTGGAGCTAAACCCACCCACCACCCAGGACCCACTCCTAGCAGTTCACAGCCAAGACCTGGGAACTACGACCCCCACCTCTCCCTGCCCCGCAGCCTACCCTCTCTCCAGTCTCCAAGAAACACTCCTGTGGATGTCCCACCTTGGATGTTCCTTCCCTCCAACATGTGTCTTTCAGTTGAGGTTGATCTTTTCCCCTCTCGTCTGCCTTCAGGTGGAGGTGTTGCCTTGGGCAACAGTGATGTCACCTGCAAGGGGCTTCTACTCCACTGATGTCACGGGGCGGACCACCCAGGTGGAGGGGGAGGCATTCCCTATGGGAAATTATCACAGGGGCCCAACACACTGAGGAGGACCCTAGAAGCTTCCTGGGTGCTCCCCATTGTCCTTTTCTTCTCCACCAAACCTCCTTGCTCTTTCCTCCTCTCTGGATGCCTATTATATACCCTGCCTTAAACCTGACCTCCCCCCTTCAGGGTCGGCATAAAGGCCAGCCAGAGGAAGCCCATCCTCAGCTTCAAACAAGGCTGGTAAAAAGACCCGGAGGAACTCTAGCTGCCCTTCTGTCCTAGGCTGGGTTGTGGAGATCTTGCCCTTGTTCAGTCTAGCAGAGAATGCACACCTCTGACTGCTGCTCTCTCGAAGAGCCCAGACTTGCCCTCTGTGTATCATCCGGCCCCTCCCTCCCAGCAGCTCTCAGAGGAGTCACCCCTGTTGTATTGATCATAAAACCAAGACTTGGAATAGTCAAGACCTTTCCCAACTGCTGAGAACAGCTAACCCCTGAGCCTTGGTACCTGGGACCCCCTCCCGAAGACATGGTTCGCTAAAGATGAGCTCTGAGGGAGGACACTCCACTCCACAGGACAGGGCAAGTGGCCTGGGGCAGCTGCAGTAGGCCCTGTCTCATGTTTGTTTCACTTAGGCCTCTGCGAAAAGTCTCTATTGATCAGGGACCATACTTCTCTGCTTAGCTTAACCCTGTGGACCAATCCAGGTTACCTGGCCACTCTCTTAATTTGTATACAGATTTTACCAGTGGGACTGGCCCTCCAACCATTACATAGCACAGAAGTTATTTCACTGATGCAAATGCAAATCAAAGAGAGCTACTGCTTGCAAAACACTAAACAAATACGTGAACACAACGGAAAACCGCCACATTATAGAAGAAGAAAGGGAGAAAACTCTACCTCTCAATGGCCAAGGAGGTGCACACAGTTAGGCTGACCTACGCATCTGGTTTACCATTAGCCAGAGGGTCATGGAGATGGACACATGGCCTGCTCTACTGGCCACCACTGCCCACATCTTCCTCTGGCCTGAATTTGACTCAAGCTTAGCTAGATGGGAGCCACCTTCTTCCAATCTTGGGGGGGTCTCATGTGGCCTACCCAGGATGTAAGCCCCAGACAGTAAATCTGTATGATGTCCACAAGTCTTACAAATTAATAAACTAACATCCTGCCTTGTATGTGTGTTTCTGGGAGCTTTCTCAGAGTGAGCCATCAGCCACTTGGAATTTGCAGAAAGTTAAGTGTTTGCAGGTAAGAGCTGGCCCCAGGACAGGTGGTCAACATCTGTCTCAGAGCCATTGGTTGAGCACAGCCAAACCTGCCCAGGTGACTTCTAAACACTTGACATGCTGGGAACGGTGTCTGCAGGTGAACAGGACTTAGGGTTGCAGGAGGACCTGGCTGGGAGCTAGGGGTGGCAGATCAGAACAGCATGTTCAGACACCCATCACCTTCTGTGCCTCCCGGGAGAGCAAGCTCAGGGCCCTGCACTCAGCCAGCTGTGGCCTCTTCCCTGGGCACCACACCCAGGTGGCACTTACTCACCACCCTCTTGCAGGCCCCAAACTGGATCTGCCACCTCCCATCATCCAGTCTTTAGGAAGGAAGGCCAGGCAGGCGTGGGCCAGGAGGTCTCCCTGAGAGCAGGGCTGGGACACTACCCACAGGGTCCAGTCCTGCTCTTCCCGGGCTCCATGTTTCAAGTGTTGGTCATAGCCTCCTGGGGACACTGCACTGTCTCTGTCAGGTAGGGCCTCCTTCTTCCTTCTCTTTCTAGACCCCAGAAGATCTGAAAGGGAAAAAATATATATATATGGTTCCTCCCAGACAATACCTTCTCAGTAGGACAGTTGTGCCAGAGACTCTGCCCTCCTTGTCCTCTGATAAAGTTACCCCCATACCCTGTCTTTGGGGCCGTAAAAGGCACTGCAGAAGCAGAGAGGGGACAATTACTAGGAAGATGACATCCAAGTTCAGACCCTCACCCCTAGAAGGCCAGAGCCTGCAACTGTTGCATCTGCGACCTTGCGGCCATCTAGCCTAGCCACTTCTGCTTGCCCATGGTGGAAGCAGCGAGGGCAGACACACCTGGTGCAGCAGCAACACACAGGCAATCAGCCAACAGGGCCAGACTTGGGGCTGGAGGACAGATCCAAAGGTCTTTAAGGGGGGAGGCGGGGGCAATATCAAGTCTGTCCCTTTCCCTCCACTCCAGCTTCTTCAGCCTCACAGGTGAGCTCACAGATGGGCCAGACGGAGCTAGTCTGTAGAAGAGAAAGGCCCTGGGTCGTCTCCCAGAGAAGAGCCAGCAAACACAGTGACCCGGATAATGCCAACCAGGCCCACGGCCACTACCAGGTCTGGGGGATGGAAGAAAGCTAGTCACACTAGGCAAAATGAGGTTCCTACCTGGTTCCGTAAAATACTTTCCCTCTCAGCTCAGCAGCATTTGGGGTTTTAAAAGGGAAAGGGGCTTTTTGGAAGAGGGGTCTGAGCATGAGGGCTTCAGGGTCCCCTCACTTGGTAGCCGGCAGACGGAAGAGACACTGGGCTGGGGGAGTGGGGGCTGAGGCCAGGAAGAAGGCCCAGGACAAAAAGTTCCGCACAGCATGGGGTCTCCTGCACTAAGTCTTGAAAGGGGAAGTGGCGGGGGCTTCCTCTGGCCCCAAGCAACCTCAAAGCATCTGTCACTACCGCTAACCAAGAAACAGCCAAGTTCACGTTGCCTGCGGTCCTCAGGAGGGGCGGAAAGGCGCGAAGGAGCGAGCGGACAACGGACTCAGGGCGGCCTAAGTAACGGATCCTTCAGGCTCTAGGAACAAAAACCACGGTCCAGCTTGGAGCTCCGAAGCGGAGCTGCCCGCCCCCTCGACGGCTTGGGACGACCCGCCCCGACAGGGCGCTCTAAGGAGGGGTCCCTGAGGTCGCCGCCCCTTCGCCCCGTGCGTCCCCACTCTCCCCGGGTTCCCCTCCAGCACGCCCGGCCCGGGACTTACGTGCGGCCAGGGGCGGCTCCCTGGGGCGGCAGGCCTCGGCTGCAGCGCTGCCCTCGGCTGCAGCGCTGCCCTCGGCTGCAGCGCTGCCCTCGGCTGCAGCGCTGCCCTCGGCTGCAGCGCTGCCCTCGGCTGCAGCGCTGCCCTCGGCTGCAGGGCTGCCCGGCCGAGTCCGGGGCACGGGCGCCTGGGTCTGCGGGCGCCTGCGGTGCAGGGGGCGGCCCGGGTAGTTCAGAGCGAGGCGGGCGGCCGTGTTCCCGACGGCTCCCGCCTCCGGGCCTCCATCGCAGGGCTCTGCTGGGCAGCGGAGTTACTCATTTCCTGATGTCACAAAAACTTTTCCCTCCTTATAAGAACAAAACGCCCGCCTCTACTCTGGGCGCGGAAGCGGCTTAAGGAGGACCGTGTGGGTTACGCGCCTGGGCTCAGGGTCCGCCGCGGGGATGTCCGAGGGGGATCTCGCCAGGACCTGCAGAGGAACGAGCCGAACAGATGACTGAGCAGACGGGTCGAGATTTCACCCCTGTAGTCACCCGGGGAGAATGGGCAGGAGTTAGGGGAGGACGCCCTTAAAAGATGTCCTGGGCACGGTTTAGAAAGGGTTAAGTCTCTTTGAGTCAGCGGGGCGCGCTTTACCAGGGACAGAATTTCTGGGGCCCGCTTTTTTTCTTTTTTGAATCCTTTAGGGGAAAATCTGTGCACTGTTGCCTTCGCTCATCCCCCAGTAACCGCGCACAAAAGAAGCAGCGACCCCGTGTACCGGGGCCTCTGAGCTGCCAGGGCGGTGAAGCGGGGTCGAGCGTTGCTACCCTTATTTTGGAAAGGATGGAGCGTGGGCTGGCAGTGCCCTCCGCGCATCTTCCCTATGAGACCTGCCGCAGTTCCCACAGCCAGCAGAAGAAACCGCGAAGGGTTGGAAGGGATTCTTGATGAAGCAGCTTTGAACGCGCACCAGGTGCCAGCGAGGGCACTAATGGGGAAACGGGAGATGCTGCCCATTGCCACTGCAACTGCTGTGGGACCTTCGCCACCTCCTTCTTTCCTTTCTCCATGCAGCCGAGTAGTCTGGAAGACTAAAAGATAAACAGGACCGGAGGAAAAGGTCTAAAAATAGACCGCCTGGCCCTAGGCCCAGAGTGCTTGCTTCCCCAGGCTTCTCCTGACGCTCAGCCCTTTCCCTGCGTCAGGGATGGTTGCGGCAGAGTTTGGGGGACTTGTGTTGCGTGTTTGGAGGCTGGGGCGTTGATCCTTGGACATGCACTCTAGTATTGTGTGTTTCTCAAATGTCTACAAATTGCATTCTAATCCCCGAGGACAGGTGGAGGAAATTCCTGGGAGGTGCGGGGATCTGGAAGGAGCCCTGGGAGCCTGGAGCTAAGACTTGAGGGTTGGTGCTTGAAGACTGTGCTCCCGGCATGTGCACCGAGGAGTTGTTGCAGCAAGCGCTAACCAGCCTGTCTGTGTTTTCTGTTGGGAAGACTGACTATGTTTACTTTTCTTTCACCCCTGATGATTTCACCCTCCTTTGGCTGGCTGCTCTCTGCTTCTTTGCTCCCCTGTCCCAACCTGGCATGTGAGCAAGTCACCGGATCCTCCTCAGCTCTCACTCAATGACCCCGAAACGAGGCTCCTGCAGTTCTTGGAACTTCTGTTTCTCAGAAGGTGATGTGTTTCCTCCCCCAGCCCCCACCCCTGCAGTGCTTGTGTGGGTTCCTGAAGTCTTCACCCCACTTCTTCCTCCATCCCCAATGCACACTCAGGTTGTTGGTCTGGCTGCTGGTGGGCTTGCTCATCGGTCATCGGGTCTCGGGAGGTCATCGGTCATCGGTCACTACACCTGTAAAGCCTTCCCTAATCCCCCATGCCTGGATTGGATCTTCCCACCATGTCATTTCTGGAGCAGCCAGAGCTTACGCTACAAAGATTTCCTAAAGACGAGAAAGTATGAAGGATTTAACCTCTGGGAACGTGAGGGGTAATGAAAGACCCAGCTGGGTGGGTGAGGGGCAGCCTTGGAGGAGGCTGAGAAGGGTGGCCACACCAGGAGAAGGCAGCTTCCTCCTGTGCCAGCAGTGAGGTAAGACCTACCAAGGTTGAGGGGAGCCTGTAACACTCCAGAAGGCACATTCCTTTGTCCCCAACCCCCACCTCTACAGCTCCTGATAAAAACCACCCCTCACCTCCCCTGGGCATGACTTCCCTGGCCCACTGTGTATACTGGATCAATGAACCTCGCCCAGGAGTGCTCCCAATAAAGCTTGCTTTAAGCTGAACTCTGTTCTGTGTGGATTTCCGGTTCTGAACATGAACTCCAGCCTTACGGGCAAGAAGGCAGGGAGCCTCTGCTTCAAACACAGAGATGCCTAATAAAATGGGTCAACAGTTGAAAGGAAAGGGGGCTTCCAGGATGAAGCGGAAAGCAGGAGCTCCAAGGTGTGATGGGGAATCGAAGTTTGAATGGTAAAGCACTGGGTGTAAGTACCCATTTGAACTCTGAGTTCTAGAAATGCAGGGATCTGGACTGGAGACCCTGCGAGGCCCTGGGAGGGCTTTCAGGAGGATGCAAAAAGTCTTCCTTCCGGGAACCTGCACCCTGTGGGAGACCCGGAAGAGGCTCCTGGCTTCGGATCGGCATAGTATCGGCCTGTTGCGCTCACTTGGGGAGTGAATCATCGGATGGAAGATCTTCCTCTCTGTCTCTCCTCTCTGTATATCCGCCTTTCCAATGAAAAAATAATAAAAATAAATCTTTAAAAAAAAAAAAAAAGTCTTCCTTCCACTGGCCAGGCTCACAGCAAGGAAAACTTCTGGTTTTGGGGGATCTTGGGTGAATTTAAAACAAACAAACAAACAAAAAAAAACCCCTGGAAATCTGAAACCCCAGCCTACCTATGCCAGGTAAAAGGGTAAGGCCCCATTCACCCTTGTGGTTAGGGCTTTGGTTCTGTCAAAAGCAAATGCAACATTTCCTTCATACTGATCTTCAGCAGAATAAATAATTCTCATTGAACACGAGCTTACAACGAGAAATTTTAAGCAAAACTAGGAAATGAAGCACATGAGGGAGTGATTAGGCAGATGAAATAAACAGAAGAAATAGGTGTGTAAGTACTTGAGATAATACAACGATTTGAAAAAGCCTATGAAACAGTTATGGCCACACTACAGAAATGAAATGATAGAGTGTGGGACTTTGAAAAAGGAATAAGCTAAATTGAAAAGGTGCAAATATAATATGCAGAAATAAAACATATTAGTCGTGAACATTAAAACAAAACTTCAATGATGGAAAATTCTTTGTTATTTTATTATTTATTTATTTACTTATTTATTTTGATGCTCAGGTCAAACAAAGGACACTCTATTGATGGCCACAGGGCGTGGACCGGCAGGGGAGTGGCCGCCCCGAGGAACAGGGCCTTATTTGATCTTCTTGGGGTGCTGGCTGTTGGTGTGGCAGCGTTTTCTCCTCGGCAGTTGACGGTGCAGGAGTACAGGCAGGCGCTGCCCTTGCAGCAGATCATCTTGGCACAGTTGTACTTCTGGGCGAGCTGGCGCAGGGACTGCTCAATGATGCCGCCCTGCAGGTGGAGCACCAGGTGCAGTGTGAACTCTTTCTGGGTGTTGTAGTCCGACAGAGTGCCACTGTCCTCCAGAGGCTTGCCGGCAAAGATCAGACGCTGCTGGTCGGGGGATGTCCTCTTTATCCTGGGTCATCGCTGGGCTCCACCTGGAGAGTGATGGTCTTGCCCGAAGGGTCTTCACGAAGATCTGCATTGTGCTGTCTGAGGGAGTAGGAGCACAGGCGAGAGAGGCTTTTGCATCCCATTGTTGCTCCGACCCTGCAGCCTGAGGACAAGGCAGCCCAACAGCATGGCAGGTGCCCCATCCCCTTCCCAAGCAGGCTGGCGCGGCCTGCAGCCCTTCCCAAGCAGACAAAGGCAGACTGCCCACCGAGCCGCCTCCCGCCTGGTGGGTGCGGCCCTGAAGGCCACCTAACCCTCAAAGCTGCACCTGCCCCCTAGGGGAGCGGTGGAAGGGGCCATCCCGAGGCAAGCTGGGAGCCACCCCACCACCCCTACAGACCCCCACACCCAGCCCCAGCTCCAGCATCCTGGCTTCCCCCCAACCCCTCACCTGCACTGCCGCCTGCTGCCACCGACCGAAAATTCTTTCCTATTTAGGCAGTAATAAATACATCAGTCAAAATTCCAATGAAATAACTCCTTGGGGGTGAATGTTTGGCCTCGTTGATACTGCTGGGGGCGTCCACATCTTGTCTCAAAATGCCTGAGCTTGTGTCCTGACCTGGCTGCTAATCCACTTCCTGACAGTGTGCACCCGGGAGGCAGCAGGTGAAGGTTCAGAGCTGAAGCTCAGCTGCGCTCATAGAACATCCCTGCTAATTTCCAGCCCCTGGCTGTGTCCTGGGCCAGCAGTGGTGGGTGTGACCACGTGGGAGGTGAACCAGCAGACACGAGATTGCTGACTGTCTCTCACTCTGCCTTTCAAATAATAAATAAATAAACTTCACGAAAACGGGGAAAGAGGGCCCACGTTTCCCTACATTTTTGCCATCACTGGATATTTTCTAATGTGTTTGCTTTTTCTATAGATTAAAAACAAAAGAAGAAGAAAAATTTCTCAATGTCTTGATTTGCAATTCTTTCTTTCGTTCTTTCTCTCTCTCTTTCTTTTTTTTAAAAAAATTGGAATGTCAGATATACAAAGAGGAGGAGGAGAGACAGAGAGGAAGATCTTCCATGCGCTGATTCACTCCCCAAACGGCCGCAAGGGCTAGAGCTGAGCTGATTCAAAGCCAGGAGCCAGGAGCCTCTTCCAGGTCTCCCACGCGGGTGCGGGGTCCCAAGGCTTTGGGTCATCCTTGACTACTTTTCCAGGCCACAAGTAGGGAGCTGGACTGGAAATGCGGCTGCTGGGATTAGTACTGGCACATAAAAGGAGAGGACTTTAGCCACTAGGCTACCACGCTGGGCCCTTGATTTGCATTTCTTTAGTTATAAATGATACTGAACAGAATGTTGTTATTGCTCATTTTTATCTTTATGAACTTTCAATTACGACGTTTTTTTTTCTGTTGGCCTGAATGTGTGTGTATGAAAGTAAACAGAATTTTTTTTTCATGAGCGTAATTGCTAGCTGAGGTTTCACATTCCATAGTGAAAGGTGACTTGTGACTAGCACTGGACCAACTGCAAGGCAGTTTCACACCACATGTCAGAGTCAGGAATGTTAGAGATAAAATTTTAACTATAGGGGGCCAGATTTCCAGTTCCTCT